AGCCACCGCTTTTACTCCCTTGAATAAACAGCGATGCACGTACGATTTTGGCGCGCTTGCTTGTCGCAGTCCAAGGTCTTGTCGTTTTCGTCTCTGCTATGATCGACTAGGAATGACCCGATATAAAGTAGGTCAATCTGCATTGTATTGCTGGGTCGTCTCCCCAAGTTCTTTGGTTTGGAATACTCCTTCACAAAGAACATGTTTTTCTTGCATGCAAAGCTTGTTCTTGGATCTGGTGCATCGCTGGGCTTGTACTGTGGACGTTCGACCACAACTCCGTCCGCTCTCTGCACGGCCCGTTGACTCGTTGGTTTCTTTGCTTTCGACTTGGGGTTGGTGTTCAATTCCATATTGATGGTAAGAGTCGCAGTAGGTGCAATATCAATTATATTGGCAGTCATATTGGCACTCCGATTCATAAAGTCGTGTGAAGCGCGCATGCCGGGATGTAGTGATAATGCTTGAAACAATGCTGACATGTACCGGTATAAAGGTATAGTTCTATTGTTGGAGCTCAACGAAAACAATGGTTAAACAATTGTTATCTGGCCGCGAACATCACTCCCTAATATACAATGTCTCAATACTCCAAACACCTCATCTTCTCAGTACACACCACGCGTCCCCAATCAACCCTTCATCCGCGTCCAGACCCTCCCATCACGATCCAATACTCTCCAAACCCCTCATCTGACCATACAATCCGCCGCATCAACAGTTCCTTCACCGGCGCAACAAGCATACAGCACTAGCGAGCCTCTCACATTCCCCCAAAAACCCTGAGAAGAAGTCAGTCAGCTCTACATGGCCGACAGCACGTCACATTGAAGGCTGGGCGGAGCGCTCCAGACTCTTGAGATGTGCTGCGCATTCTCTGTGACACTGCGCAACCCTTGTCGCACATCGTCAGGGCCTTGGGTGCATCTCATCTCTGCCCCTCGAACATGATGTCATAAACGAGGTGCTGCAGTCGCATTGGACCCTGATGTAGTTTCAGGGGAATCTGAGGACGGGTGTACGGAAATGGGGTGCGGTCTAGACTTTGGGCCGTTTGTGGGCCGAAGGACGAGCGTGGGGTGTGTTGTGGGGGTACCGGTAGGAGACAAGGGATTGATCGGTGACGTTGATCAGCCTTGTCTCATGGTGTGCAGAGTAGTCATGATTTGTGACTGTTTTCACCCCTTGCTTGTACCGTATTCGTTGTACATGTGTCTGAAACCCCGCAGACTTCCTCTTTCGTCCGAGGTTCTTTCTTGTTTCAAGTTGCATCTAAACACCTTGCTGGATATATGTACTCTCCTGCGTCTTCTGTGGAGCATCTGATTAGTCGAATGTGAGTTCCGTCCCACCGCTTCACCATAGCGCAAGTGTTTCGGTCTCGAAAGTACTGTACCTAACGTGCATCCACGGGTCACGCAAACACCCCCGTGCTGCAAGTACTCTACCCATTTGACTTGTTACATATTCTTATATTAGTTCTGTCGCTCTATAATACTATACACTTATTCTATAGGCGTTTTTCTATTAGATAAGGGCTTGCAGTAAAGAGATATATAGTGTTGAGCTATGCTATTGTTTCTGCTTTTCTATCTACTAGAGGCTAGATTACCTTGACACCCTGGTATTCACTACGGTACAAAACCGGTTTACAGTAGCCATATTTATCTAAAGTAGACTAAGAAGTGGTTTAGGTAGAAGAAGTAAACCTAAATAGGGTTTACTATACTATGTATTCCACTTTTACTTCTACTTCTATTAATCTACTAGTTTCCTACTAACTATCTAAGTATTTTACCCCTCCTTTCTTTAATCTTCTTCACCACCTCTACCACCTCTACCACCACCTCTATCACCACCTCTACCACCACCTCTATTATCACCACCTCTATTATCACCACCTCTATTATCACCACCTCTATTATCACCACCTCTATTATCACCACCTCTATTATCACCACCTCTATTATCACCACCTCCTATTATCACCACCTCCTATTAGTAAAAATATCATGACTTATTATTATGTCATATGTGCGTATAGCGTGAAGCTAATCTTTTCTACCCCTTTTAGTCTTAGTTAGGTATTATAGCGTATAATAGAAATAAAACTACTTTTTATACTTAATTTAAACCCCTACTATAAAAGTAAACTACCACTTTAATACAAGTAAACCACCACTTTAAACCTATTTACAGGTATACATAAGGTTAGTTTACACCTATATAGTAAACCGCTAGCGTACTATTCTACAGTAAACAATTTTTTACCGTAGTGCTGAGCATGAAGAAAGACGTGTGAAATGCATCCCATTTCGCTTCCTTCATCGACAGCATTCTCATGCCCACATGGCGAGAACACTATCGCCTTGACATGAATCGAATGGCTCTGGAGCACGCTGCGAAAAAGGCCGGCCGCTGTCTCCCTCTTTTCCACCGTCCTGTCATTGCAACAGAACTCCACCAAGCCGTAGTGCGACTTTATCGATAAGATGCGGGCGCGCCCTCACGATTCGCACAGCAGCTCCTTGCTCAGCCTCGCGGAGGTCGCACACTCTTCAGCCTGATCGAACGTTAACAATGCCGCCTTCTTCGCAAAACCTGTCTCGCACATGTCTGCAGTCGACACTCGAACCCTTCCAACATGGATCCGCTGAGTGCTACAACCAGCATCATCACTATCCTCCAGCTCTCAGCCAAAGTCCTCTCCTACCTGAACGACGTCAAGGCCGCCTCCAAAGGCCGTGCGCAGTGCGCGATCGAAACGAGCAATCTGCACAACCTCCTGACGAACCTGAGATTTCGACTGGAAGAGCGACATGGCCATCAGCCATGGTTCAGCGCAGTGCAAGCCCTTGCAATCGAGAACGGGCCGCTCGACCAGTTCAAGCAAGCGCTAGAAACTCTACAGGCAAAGATGACAGACGGAGGTCGGCTGAAGAAAGCCAAGGAGGCATTAGTATGGAAGTTCAACAAAGAAGAGGTCGACGCCATTTTGGCTCGCATGGAACGATTGAAGACGCTAGTGGAGATCGGTGGTGGCATGTCATATGACCATGGGTTTAGCGTCGGGCGACTTGGGCTTTACTCCGAGTGGTTAGAATATCCCTGTAGGTTCAAGTCCACGTCACAGCGGCAAATTTTTATAGTTATATAAACTAGCCTATAGTTAAGTATAAATTAGGGTAATTTAAGCAAGTAAACGTAGTTTTTATTACTATCTTTTTTAAACGTGTTCTAAACCTGTTCTTAATAATATACAGGCGTTCCTAAATGCTATACTAGAGTTTAGTATAGCAGTACTAGATAACATATCTAAACTAGATAGTAATATTAGAGATGAATTTAGGCAACTGTATAAAGTGCTAGAGGAGGATAGTAGCAGTAGCGTTAAGGAAGTAAGTAAAAGTAAATAGAACAAGTTTAGAACAGGTTAGTAACACGTTATAGGGGCATAATATATACCTTACTTATAGTAATAGTTAAGGACTACTACTTACACTAGCAATTATTAAGCATGCAGCTATTCTCCTAGCATACCCTTAATTACATAGCTAAGGGTATAGGTATATAATACTAGTTTAGCAATATAAAGATAGCTCTTACCTAACAAGAGAAGAGGTGCTTATACAGGCTACATAGGTAACACGTTAAGAACACGTTCTTAAATTGTTCTAATTCTAGCAGGTATAATACTCCTGCTAGTCTATCTATCTTAACAGGCCTACAACTTCACTATTCTTTAATAGCTAGCTAGCAAGCTAGTATAAATACTAATACTCTAGGGTAAAAGCGTGTAAGTATCTTAAGAATACGTTACAAACGTGTTCTTATCACGTTGTTAATAACGTATTGTATAATTAGATCTAAACCTTAAAAAGTGTAGTACCTAAGAAAATTCTATAAAGAGAACTACAAATAAGAAGCTATTATTATAGCCTTATTAAGCGCTTCTCTTTAAGGATTTATAAGGACTACTAGGTGTCTTGTTATCCTATAATAAGGACTACAGTAAATTAGGTAGGGAGCAAAACTTAAACATGTTTAAAACGTGTTAATAATAAGTTAGTAAATTGTGGAACAGGCTTAACTATATATTAGCTATTAGAACTATAGCCTAATATCTGCTACTAGGAAAAAATATTATTTTAGTTAGGTACTACTAGAGGTAGACTCTATATATCTACAAGGTCTTCTAACTAGGGAGATATTAAATCTTTCTAGTAGTCCTGCTTTATATTCTGTGGTTAAGCCACAGTTAAGCTAGATAAAGAAGTGTAGTAGGTATATTGCAACCTATTCCTAACACGTTCCTAATATGTTCTAGGTATTAATTATCTATAAGGGCAAGGATCTCTATTTAAAATCCTGTGTAAAGTTACCTTCTAAGTAATTATACTAATAGATATAGTAGCAATACCTTTTTTTGCTATTATTTCTTTTAGTATATATATACATATACCTCCTCCTCCCTTAACACTATCTAATAGTAATATTAAGGAAGTAGTAAAGGTGTTGTAGCCTATGCTTACTCTGTAGCTTACGTAATGTAAGTTGTTTACAACCTATTACAAACGTGTTCCTAACTTGTTATAGCCTAGTTCCTAAACTTAACCTAGCTCTAAACCTATCTCTAACTTAAAGGTTTCTATTCTATTAAAGAAATGCATATTAGCTTTGCAAATAAAGATAAAATCTTACGTATTATAAAGCGTGAAAAGCTTCTACAGTTCCTATTTAAGAGTAGCCTTAGAGGAGTACACTATAAGTGGAGGACAAAGTATTAGGATCCTAAAACTGTACGTGGTGTAAGAGAATAGGTTTGGAACATGTTGCTAACACGTTACTACAGGCGTATATACAGCAAATCTTTATATTAAGCTTAGGTAACTTAATTATTTGCCTTTTTAAAGAGCAGGTATTAATTCTATTAGATTAAGACATGTTCTAGATGGATATGTTATATAAGAGGTTGTATAGAGTATAGGCAGAGATTCTAATAGTAATCTTCTACCTGCAGGAAAAGAAGCGTACGCATTAAGAACAGGTTTATAACACGTTTCTAATACGTTACAGTTATTATACTTAGCTAAATTATTATAGATAAGGATATAACTAAGATATATTAAGTTGCTATTACTAACTTCTTTTAGAAGTATAAAGCTACTTATAAAAAGATAAGTGTTATAAAGGTATATTTACTTATAGGGATTCTATAGGACTACTATTAACATGTGTAATAAGCAGATAATAGGCAAGTTTTATAGCGCACTACAACATGTTTATAACGTGTTTCTAACTTGTTTCTAGGACTTAGGCGCTATCTCTAGTTAATTAATCCCTATAAGCGTAACTAGCGCTAGCAACTTTAATCTTGTATAAGATTTTATTAAGTATATCTATAAAGAAGTATTTATAAAGTATGTAAAAGAGAGCTAGATAATACTACCTCTTTACGTCTAAGTGAATTACTACAGGCATTAATAGTAGAGGAATACTTTTAGCTTGCTAACCTCCTCTTATATAAGTAAACACATTCTAAACCTATTCTAAACATGTTCCTAACTCGTTCTTATATAATTAGAATACGAACCCTCTAAAGATGCCTAAAACTAGGCAATCTATAAGAAAAACCTAGTAATTGCTGCTAGGATTGTGCAATGCTATAGTAAAATATTAAAAGAGGTATAGGAAAAACTAGAATCTTATTTAAATATAGCTAAGCAAGCAGGCTAGAAAGGATATAAAACTAGTAAGCATATAAGTATTCTTAAGGCTACTTAGAAGTAAGTTTATAACCTATTCTTAACCTGTTAGAATTGTATAAGTAACATCGTGTAGTGCATACTAGATAGATCTATAGGATATAAAAGAGTTTAAAGCCTAGAGCAAGTTTAGAATACGCTATAACTATAGAACTCCTAATAGGCTTAAGCAAAGGTACCTTAAAAAGCTTTAGAGGGGAGAAAGTAAGTCTTACGCTAGCGTTATACACATTTGCTAATTAAAACATGTTTAGAATATGTTTAGAACGCGTCCTGTAATAATAATAATACTCTAGATAATAATAAAGCAAGTCTTGCTATATCTAACTTAACTAGATATATCTTAGTCCTAATAAGAAATAAAAGAGCACGCTTAAAAGCCTAAAGCTAGAGGGCAAGTAGTAGAGCGGTATTAGAAAGAAGTTTACTAGCCCCTTTTCTATCTTCTCTACTACTAGGCTCTTCTCCTCTACTAACAGCAACCTAAAGGTATGCTTCGCGAAACACGTTTATAACACGTTCCTAACTTATTATTAGTCTGCAACTACAAACTTTGTAATAAAAGGCTCTTCTTAGTAATCAGGCTCTAAAGGAGAGAAAAGAAAAGCTAGAGGTAGATAAGGAAGAACTTGCATAGAAAAAGGCACTGTTTAAATTACAAAAGGCATAGTTTAAACTTAAGAAAGAGATAGCTACTTTTTATATAAGGTAGGGTTAGTCTATAAATATAGTAACTAGTTCCTAACTAGTTCTTAATATATTCTAGTCTATCACGTAAGCATATATAAGTGGATAAATATATATTCTTTCTTCTTCTCTTTCTTCTTCTTTCTTCTTACACTCTATAAGAACTTTTTATATTTAAGAGTTTAATACTGTTTTACTATCTATCTTTCCTAATATTATTAGATATAACTAGTTAATATAGTCTATAAAGATCTTTTGAAGTTAGTATATGATAGAACGCGTTAGGAACACGTTGTGAACTTGTTCTAACACTAAGTAGGATTTATACTAGCAATATATTAAGCTTGAGTTACTTCTATCTAATGCTAGGGCATTCTCTCCTGCAATATCCTACCTAAATAATAGGTGTATAGTATTTCCTAGTGAGCTTTTCTACTAGGCTATTTAGGCTAGATTAGGGGTACAGGAACTTTGTAGAGTATGTATGCATGCGAGTTAGAACACGTTTATAACATGTTAACAACCATTTTAGTATTGCTTCTCTAATAGAGGCAATCTTATCTACCACCTTAAGAGGTATTATCCTAAGGTTTAAATAGCCCTAGTAAACTATAGCAGAACTACAATACAAGGCATTATAGAAGCAAGGATCTTTTATAGGAGCTTAATAGTAAATGCTTAAGAACGTGTTCTAAACACGTTAACAATACGTTCTCCGCTAGTAGAGCAGACTACACTAAGTGCCTCCTCTAAGGTTTAAGAACCCTCTAAGATAGCTAGTCTATAATAAGAAGTAGTAGCTAGAGTAGAGGCTAAAGAGGAAGCAGAGAGTAAAGAAGAGGAGCAAATAGTTGCTCCCCTTTACACTGTGAATAATATTTAGCGAAAGCAGCAAAAAGGAGATGTAAGTCTAGTCTCTTAAAACACGTTTAGAACATGTTAATAATACGTTATAGCTAGACACCTATAAATGCTAGATTCTTCTTTAATCTAAGGGACTGCTAGAGCTTTGCAATACCTGTAAAAGTTAAAAGAAAAAGTTATGTACTATTAAAGGACCCTATAAAAGTAAATAGTACTTTACTTTTAGTAGATAGAAAAAAAAAGAGAAGAGTAGAGAGTTTATTTTAGTAATTACTACTACCCCTTTAGGTTATGTGCTATTGTATATTGTTTATTAGAACCTGTTCTTAACACGTTCTTAACGTGTTCCTACTTGTTGCTATTATTATCTCCCTCCCCCTCTCTAGTATCTTCTCTATCCTCCCTATCCTCCCTAGGCTCTATAAAAGCATACCACAAGTGGAACTAGGTGGCATTCTGGCAGGAATTAGCAAGGTCCACACTAGCATTAAAGTAACAGTCTTAAAACACGTTAGGAACAGGTTAACAATATGTTATAAATAACTTACTATGGCTAGGATGATCGCGAGCGTAGATAGTATAAGGAACCTAATAACCTTAAATCCTTAGCAGGGTAGATATAGTAACAAAGTTAAGCTATAACAAGTTAGTAACGTGTTTTTAATAGGTTCTTGCAGGCTGTACCTTATTACTATTATAGCTACTGCAAGTCTTCTTCTAAATTATATTTAGGAGGGTATTAGCATTTGCAGGGGGGCCTATAGCAGCTGCTAGCTAGGCTTAGAGAACTTCTATAAA